AGGGCTGGGCTTGTATGTTCTGCGGGGCTGGCGTCTCTGGAGCGGGTGAATGCTGGCATTAAGACATCAGAAGCAGCTTCCCTTTTTTTTTTTTTTGAGGAAGATTAGCCCTGAGCTAACATCTGCTGCCAATCCTCCTCTTTTTGCTGAGGAAGACTGGCCCTGAGCTAACATCCATGCCCATCTTCCTCTACTTTATATGTGGGATGCCTCCCACGGCATGGCTTGCCAAGCGGTGCCATGTCCACACCCGGAATCCAAACTGGCGAATCCTGGGCCTCCGAAGTGGAACACGCGCACTTAACCGCTGCGCGACCAGGCCGGCCCCAGAAACATCTTCCTTTTTGATTGTGCTGACCCATTCCCCAAAATAGCCCCAGAAATTATCGGCCTTTAGGGCCAGTCTTATCTGTCCTGTAGAAAACTCCCATCCACGCATGATCTTCCTGTCCAGCTTGACACTCTACAGGCTTTCACATTCATTCATTTTCTCAATCGTTTCTACTTTTCCCCCTCTCCTTTTCCTTTTTTGTTGTTCCGTCTCTTCTTTCTTCTCTTTCCACACAAGGGGCGGGGAAAGAGGAATGACTTTGTGTAGGTAGGCACTGAACACACGAGCCATGATGATGGCTCCCGCGTATCAACTGTGCCATGCTGGTGCCTTTCATTACATCCTATAATCCTTTGAGTAACCCTCTGAGGTAGGTATTGTGTCCTCATTTAGGTATTTTTCTGGAAATGGTACAACTGGGATTTGAAGACAAGTCTGTCCTACTCCAAAGAGCCAAGCTTGGTACCAGTGCTGCGTGTGTTGGATGGGGGTGGGAGACGGTGACACAGTGATGCTAGTTGTCATCGGTAAGGAGACTCCCCGTACATTCCTGATCTCCTTGTCACAGTGAATGGGATGCCTCTGGCTTGGAGCTGCCTTGTTGCCGCGTGTGGTCTTGCTCCAGATGGAAGAGCTGCATTGTCTTGAGTATTTGGGTAAATCAGGTCACCTTACTTCCTCAGGTCACAGAAGAGCCTGCCATTCTGACTCAGGAGGGGGTCAGAACCACTTCCTCAAGACAATATCAGAAAGAGCCAAAATCTTAGAAGGCAGAGGAAAGCAGAGCTATAATTTTTTCCCTAGCATAGTTACCCAGACTTTAAGAATTCTGATGGGAACAAGGGTGAAAGTTTCTAGAGTTGAAAAGAGAACTAGAAGGAGAAGCATTCCTTCCCCCCGCACACGTATCCCCCCGCACACATACACGCCGCCTCTGTCAGCTGCAGTTCTGTCCTCAACATTTCAAAGTCCGTCTCTTCTTTTTTGTGTTCACGGCATGGCTGTAGTGCAGGACTCATCCTTTCTTAGATTCCGCAACTGTATCCTGACTGGTACCCCTGCCTTCAGGCTCTCTGCACCCTTTCTAACTCCTTGTCCATCTTAGATAGCATCCTGATCTTAACGCGAGTCTTCCCATCGTGCTGCTTCCCTGCCTCCACCTTGACAACGGCACCCAGGGCCAAGAGGAAAAGGTCCGAATTCCTTACCGTGTCATAGGAGGCTTCTCAAGATCCAGCTCTCTCCTCTCAGCCCCATGCCCACTTGGCCTTCGCCATACTGAGCCCCCTGCAGCTCCTGAACGTGCTGTCCGTCTCCCTCCCGTGCCTTTGCCTGGAGCAGCACTCCTGGCATGCACCGCCTGGCTAACTCCTATTCATCCTTCAAAGCCAAGCTCAAAGACACCTCCTTTGGGGGAAGCCTTCTAAGGCTTTCTCCCTTCCCCTTCAGTCTGGGTTAGATGCTGCATTCTCTGTGCTTCCCTTTATCATAATCCTTAAAACACTGTATTGTATTGTCTATTTGCCTGAATCTCTCCTTCATTGGCCTCAGCTCTTGACGGGCGAAGGACTCTGTCTTATGTATATTTATCTTTGTAATCTCAGGGCTTGGTACAGAGCAGCTGTCAAGTAAGTTTTTAGTGATTGCATTTTTCAATAAAAGCAATTTATAAAATGCAAAGAATTGGAGAAATGGAATTGAAAGCAAACGCTCAGGGCCGTGTAACTTTGAACTCTTCTTGGTGCTTAGGGTATAAATTTCTTGCTTGTGGAGCCTGTATTTGTTGTCCAGTGTGTTCTTTCACGTAGCAGAGAAGAGCTGGGAGAGGGACCGTGGCCTGGCAGTGGGTTTGTTCCACAGACCTAAGATAGCTACCTCATGTGTATAGACTCTGCCCAGCCTGGGCCTCTGGGTTTTCTTTCTGGGTGGAGAGCATCTTCTGCAGGACATGGCACTGCTCCAAGCCAAAAGTTTGCACTTTTATTGGTCCTTGTTGTGTTCTGCTGTTCAAGCATTAGGAAGACTGAGCCCTGTTTGAGTCTTGACAGGATCGTGTTTCATGATCCCAAAAAAGTGTTTGTGTAACCTCAGGCCATGCTGAAAGTGACATGCAGCTTAAAGGGGGATTCTGCTGGACCCCACTCAACTTGTCATCTGGCCACGTGGCCGTTTGCATGTGGTGTGTGAGTGTGTGGTTCCCCTGAAGCCCGTAGGAGTTGCATGTGCCGATAAGATCCAAGGCCAGAGTGCTTGCTCCCAGTAGAGGGGAGTTGAGAAATGCAACAGCAAACATTTATTGAGCCCCTGGTGTGTGCAAGGCTCAATGCTAAAAGCCGTGGGTGATATAGGATGTTCAGGACAGGGCCGTATCCTCAAGAAGCCGCCCATCTGGAAGAAAGGCTGATGAGCAGAGTTTTGGAGACATGAGAGAGCATGGCTCCCTCCAGGCCCCTTCACTACTTTGGTGCCCAGGACATTAGAGAAAGGAATGCCTTTTGTTGAACTGCGTACTTGCACAGGTTTAGGTCTTCTCAAGTATATTGTTGACTTTAACCTTCATATCATTCCTGCCTTGGAGTTACAGAAACCCTAATATGTATTAAATATGAGCTCAGAAAATTAAATTGGGAAATAAGCCAGTAGATTGAAAGGAGGGATGTTTGTTTAGGGCTGGGGGTCTGTCCTGTGCTCTCTTTGCGCTCAGCACATGGGATGGAAGCTGAGGGAAAGCTCTCTAAGAATTGAGAGTAGCAGCAGCCCTCGTTTGGGGCAGCTGGCTGCTCGGCTGGAGAAGTGGAGTTGAGAGCCAGCGCTGGAGGGGTTTTTTGAAACCTCTTCCTCGGGGACAAAATGAAGGAAGAAGGGAAGGTAATTTCCAGGTAGAGATGAGGACATTGGCTCTGCACCTATCAGAGAAGAGTTGAAAAGTTTAATGATCTCCACATTTAACTTGAATCACGTTCGTTGGTATTTCCTTCTACTGGGGGTACTTGAAAACCCCGTCCCGACCTCTCGTAAAGGGTTGCCAAGTGCCGGAGCCTAGAACCTCCTGGGAGAGTTGGGGACAGACCTTTTCCTCCCTAGTTCTCAAGTTTGGCCTTGGCTAGGAGACAAACTCTCTGTGCACCAGCTCTCACTGCTCATTCCTCCTTCAAAAAGAAAGTGACGAAAGGCTTAATTGTTTCCTTTGCAAAATGGTACGTTCAATAGCACTCACACTATAACTGTATTAAAATGTTACATTTCTTGGCTAGTATTTTACTTTCTTGTAATAGCATAGAAATAGCCTAGCCTTCTTTTCTTATCTTTTTACAAAAAAAAATAATAATTAAATGTTTGAATAGGTAATAAATGTAATGGATACAAAATTCAAAAGGTATGAAGCGTTTTATGGTGATGAGTAAGTCTGTTTCTCTTCTCTCTTGTAGCCACCCAGGTCTCCTGGGGTAACCGGCATTACCAGTTTGTTGCCGTGATTTTTGTGGCATTTTGTTGATTGCCGTTTTACTACAAAAGGGACATTGTGGCCATTGGTTCAACAAATGATCCAAGTCCCTGTGATGGCCAGGCCCTGGCTGCTGGAGCCTTGGTGTCGGTGCGGTCTTATCAAGAACTTCGTTTTCTTGCTTACTATGTGTCCAGAATGAGGAACAGGGCCATCATGAGTAGTGAGGGCATCACCATCACCATCTGAGTACAGAGACTTCAGTCCAGAAAGCCGTTAGACAGAGGAACTTCTAAACACTTTTTAAACACTTTTAAAGTGTTTTATTCCCCATTTCGAAACCCAGCCATGTGTTTCCTATTAAATTACATGACTGATAGGTGCCGTTTATGGTTACTTAATAGGAACTCCTGTTGCTAAATGGCTCAAATGGATATCTGTGTATTTATTTTGCCGTCTACTGCAAAACATAAATTTTTCTTGCTCCAGTAACTCATTAAGTTCTTGAATCTTTCATCATAAGCTAATTGAGACTATGCTTGAGCCATCCTTACACCCTTGCAAGTGGCTGTTCGGTAAATGTTTCTCAATGACTCTAAGAAGGGCTCAGTGAGGTCACATGCTCAGGAGGAAGGACGCTGGAAATGAGCGATAGGAGAGTTTCATTGACCTTTCCTCCGGGTTAGCTGCTGACTCCCTCAGCAACGAGACCCTGGCTTCTCGACCCCCATCAAATTGTTGATATCACCGGGCTTTCAGGAAAAAGTGGTCACAACTGCTTCCTTGCTCCAGCTCCTGCTGATAGGAATTCGTATTGGCTGATCTCTTTGGTTACGCCCTAGATTCCTTTGTGAGGAAAGGGAAAGTCTGGTGGACTAATGACTGTGACTAATTATGACTTGCTTCCTTGTTTCGGAACTTATCTTTCATTGCTATTCGTTTGCCTTGAGAAATAAGGAGGTGGGGGTTGCAGATCTGGAGCACTGGATTGAAAGTCCACAGAATTGAGTTCTGTTGCTACCACAGCTGAGCGACCCGGGGCATGTTGCTTCTCTGGGCCTCAGTTTCCCCATCTGTACAATGGAAGTTGAATTATATGACCTCTATTGTCCTTCCCTATTCAGAGATCTATGGTTTGGGGACCTCTTTTCCTAACGTCCATGCTGCATGCCCTTCCCCTTGATTTTGCCTGCCCCAGACCCCAGATGTCAGTTATTGATTCAGATCTCTGATTTGTGCTTCTAGGTTTTCTTCGTGTCCGACCTCTTCAAGACCAAGACGACACTCTCCCTGCCTCCCCCTGCTATCAGGAAGGAAATCCTTTCACCTGTGGACATTATTGACAGGAACAATCACCACAACATGGTGTAGATCCACGTGCCTCCTGAGCTGTTTTTGTAAAATGACTGCTGACAGCAAGTCCTTGCTGCTCTCCAATCTCATCAGACAGTAGAATGTAGGGGAAAACTTTTTGCCCGACTGATCTAAAAAAGGAAAAAAAAAGTCTTACTCTGTGGCCTTCCAAAACAGGTAGCGTTCACCTATCAGGAAACAACAGCAGCCTAACACCAAGTGCCGGAATCCTGGATGTGCAGTTGATTTAAAATGTTCATGTTCTAGTGAACACGGCTTGTTCTGGAACAAACACTAAAACGATTTCAGTAGGGTCTGCCCGTCACTTTTGTGACCTGGGAATCCCAGGCCTGTGAGAAAAACTCAAATTCACATTTTAGCACACGATGCCAGAAATAGCACTGAATCAAGAAAATAGCCGTCGAGGGGCTCCCCTCTTGTGTCTCTCTGTCCACACCACTCCAGTTTCCACTGTAACTTTGGTTCAGGAAGTTTCTTGGGTTTTTTTCTTTTTACATGGAAGCACAGAGCTCAGTCAAGTGATTAGATCCTGAATCCAAATGCCCCATCCTAAGGCCTTATCACTCACTTCCCTGGCCCATAGGCCCGCAGCCACGATCCCTCACTTTAGTGACTAGGAGACTCTGTGGATGAGTCAATTTCACAAATAGCACAATTTCAGAAGAGATGGAGGGTACAGGCCCTCATTTGTCTTCTTTTGACGCACCATCCTGTGATGTTGAAACGTCAGTTGCAGGATGCTGATGCTGTGCACATCAATCACCGGGCACTCGCACGCTCTTGGTAATGGTTAGCTTCCGTTACTGCTTTCTCTCTTGAGATCCTTGCTGTGTGCTCACCGGGATTTCTTGTGAGGGTCTGGAGACGAGCAAAGGCCTGATCTGCTACTGGCTGAGGGACAGCAGCCTTCGTGCAAGAGATGGGGGAGTGAAAGGGGCAAGAATGAAAATTAAGCCAAGCTGTTGGCTACAAAAGTCAGAATGAGCCAGAGTAGCAGACAGTCTCACGCCTGAGAGGCTGCCCTTCTAGATAACGGAGCTGGCGAGGGTCTCTGTGGGAGTCACTCTTGCTAAGCTGTGTGAAGCACTATTGTCTTGGGGTTGATCTCTAGGGCAGTTCTTGGTAGGTTCTGCTGGGCAGAACACGTGGGTCACATCTCCGTGGAGAGCGTTCCTCATCCTCTGTGCGTAAGTGTCCTTCCAAGCAAGGTCTCACTCTAGGCAGTAGACAGGGACCCCTTCTACTGAACCTTTGAGGAAAGGAGGAAGAAATGCTTTCAGATCTTGGATGCAAACCCTTCAAAGGGCTAAATGTAACCACATGGGTCAACCACATGCACATCCTTACTACAGAAGCCGTCCTTTCATTTCAACTTATAGCAAGCTATGATTTTTATATATAAATATTATATAAATAATGTATAAAACATTAAAAGTTAACTATGTAAAATATTATTTCTGAAACAATTTTAGCTATATCCACTATGATTATAAACTGTGTCTCGACCTGTGTTATTTACGTTAGCTGCTTAAAAAAGCATCGAGTTAATTTTTTTTAATATCGACTAAAATATCGTAGTTCTGTGGTAGACATTGTTTTACAATGAAAGAAATAACTGCAACTAGAGAAAAGTGTATAAAAACATTAAATTGTCAGTATTTTTGTAAGGTTCCATTTTGTAAAGATAATAATATTCAAAGACTTTTGTAGAATACAAAGTGAAAACTTGTATCTGCGAAACTATACTTGTATTAAATGTGCTTTTTAAATAAAAGCTCATAACACAACTAATTAAGGAATCAGAAGCCTGGACTACTTGACGGATGTTTGTCTCGGGTATGGAGTTAGGATGAGGAGGATGGCAGGCTGTGCCCTGAATGGGCTGGCCTCCCCTCAGGGCGCCAGCTCCTGATTCTTTCAGTGGGAAATGTGGTGGCTGGTGGATAGATAGATGTCTACACTGCTGTTTCATGTCTGAAAGTCTGTTTGCAGAGTGAGGCTCTGGGCCTGCTCTCATCTCAGGTTCATCTAAAGGACTTTTGTATTGTAAGGGGGTTTTCATCAGGGAGGGAGGAGCTGTGAGTCCCCCAGAGGCAGATAAGGAGCAGTGCTGGAGATAAGGTGAGCTTGGGGACTTCACCCAGGGAGGCCTGCCGAAGGAAGGGGGTGCCCCGGGGGTGCGTGCTGTCGGCCTTTGACCCCTGCTTCCCTTCTCTTTGTTCCCTCCACCTGGATGAAGAAGGGAAGCTGGGAATTCACATTTGTTGAGCCACTTGTATGCCTGGCACTTCTGCCTGTTTGTCACTTTTGATCCTTACAGCAGTTCTTATTTTGAGAAATAAGAACTTCTAACGAATGCAAAGATGAAATGACTTGTCTAAGATCCCAAAAGAGAAAATCGCAGGCCAGGACTTGTGTTCATTTCCTATTGCTGCTGAAACATTACCACAAACTTGGTGGGTTAAAGCAACACAAATCGATTATCTTAGAGTTCGAGAGGCTCTAGGGGAGAAGCTATTTCCGGGCCTCTTCCAGCTTCTAGATGCCGTCTGCATTCCTTGGTTTCTGGCCCTCCGCCTCCATCTTCAAAGCCAGCAGCATTGGGCTCAGTCCTTCTTACTCTGCCACCTCTCTGCTTCTCCTCTTCTGCCACCCCTTCCACACTTGGGGCTCTTGTATTATTCTGGGCCCACTCAGAGAGTCCAGGATAACCTACCTACATAAAGGTCAGCTGATTAGCAACCTTAACTGCATCTGCTTCCTTAATTCTCTTGCTGCATAACATATTCATAGGTGCCAGGCAGGGATTAGGACATGGGCATGTTTAAGAGGGCCATTATCCTGCCTACCACGATCCACCCTCTGGCCGCCAAAGATTCACAGCTGTCCCACATGCACAATATATTCACCCTATCCCAACATCCCCCCAGATCTCAACACATGGCAGCATCAACTCAAAATCCAAAATCCCATCTAAATTTTATCAACTCAAAAGTCCCAAATCTCATCATCTAAACTGCATCCTCTGAATCAGGTAAGGATGAGGTTCTGGGTTTAATTCATCCTCTGGCACAATTGCTCTCCATCTGTGAGCCCTTTGCCATCTGTGAAACTCAAGAAACAAGTTATCTGTTACCAAAAATCAGTGATGGGGTAGGCATAGAATAATAGTTATAGACATTCTTGTTCAAAAGAGAAAATGGAAGGAAAAAAGGAGTCATCAGTCCCAAAGCAATGTCAAAATCCAGCCAAGCAAACTCCATTTGGTCTCTGGGCCTGGGAATAAACTCACATGGCTTGTGGCTTCCTTTCCTGCCAAGGTCAGCCTGCTCTTCACAGCTGGATAAGGCGAGCCCCTACTTGGGCGCCTGTGCTAGCTCAGCTCTTTCTCAGCATTTTCCATAAGTGGAAATGTAACTTTGGGCCCCAGGATGCAGCTAAGGTGATCCTTAAGGCCTGAGTCTAAATCTTCCCGTCAAATCTGGTGGAACAAAGGTCCAGAGAAACAAAATAACTTGCTGGGGAGAGGAGGGGAACACACAGCCAGTTAGTGGAGGCACTGGTGAGACCCAACACTACCAGTCCTCTCGCCTGCATTATACCTTACCAGTAGCACTTAGGCTAGACCAGTCTCAGGAAGAAGGAGCCCTTTCCATGAGGACGTGAGGGAGCTGGAGCTGGTCCACAGGATGGCAGCTCGGGTCTCAGATCCAAACCGTCTCAGCTATCTATTTGTTGACTGATCTGAATTACCTACTATGTCCCAGGCTCTGGTAAACACACAAGGTAGGACAGTGGGTAAAAGGGACAGGACCTCCACTTCAGGACCTTAGAGGCTAGAGGAGAATGCAAAAAATCACGTACTCACACAATTGTATAGTTAAGAACTAAGATGAATGTTATAAAGGAAGAGCAAGGAAGCGAGGGGAGATTTCTACAGGAGGACCTGTCCTGTCGGGGGGTTTCCCTGAGACCTTCTAGGGCCAACGCCTGACTACACCACTCCTGCACCAACAGAATGAATGGGAAGAGCCATAAAAGGGTCAGTCTAGGAAAAGAGACAAAGGAGTAAATAAATAATGGTGGTAGTGTGAGAAGAGGAGGAGGGACCTATGGGAAGAGTTGTGAGAGCGTGCATGGCATGACTCAGAAGTCCTCTGCGTGGACCCTCTCCCCTCCCATGTGAGCATCCTTTCTAGAACATCCGCCCTGAACAAAAGTGCCAGCTTCTGCATGCACCCTTCCAATGACGATGCGCGTGCCTTTAACTGCGCACGACGGCCTTCGGGTTGTCCACACTTCCTTCTAAAGGCAGGCGTGGGAGGAGCGGCTCCAGATTCAGAGACGAAGGCAGCTATCAGGGAGGCTTTAGCAGTTTTCTTTTGATACCAAAATAGTTTATAAATAATCACGAATAGGAAAAAGAGAGACAACCCATTTTTAAAACTTCTTAACAGAGGCTATACAAACGGCAGATAAAATAAAAACATGCTCAACTTTATTAGTCATGGAGAAATGCAAATTAAAATCACAATGAGATTTCGCTACACACTGTGGCATCCTTGTCTAACTTACAAAAAGAAACTGATAGTGCAAAGTGTTGGTGAAGATGTGAGACAACTGGAACTCTCATTCACTTCTTGTGGGGATGTAACTTGGTACACCCATTTTGGAAAACTTTGGCAGTATCTGCTAAGGCCAATAGTATGTGTCACCTATCCCCCAGAAATTCCACTCCTAAATACGCACCCAATGGAAGGATGCAAATAGCTCACTAATAGACATTTACAAGGATGCTCATGGCAGCGCTATCTAAAACTGGAAATAACCCAAATCCCCATCAACAACTGAGTGGATGATTAACTAGTGGAATTAAATATTCATAAAAGGAATAGCATTTAGCAATGAAAATGAACAAATTCCTGCTATGTACAACAACAAGAGTGACTTTCCCTGAAAGAATATCGAGTGAATGATACTAGGCACAATGGAATACATACTGTGTGAGTTCGTTTTTATAAAGTTCAAAACAGGCAAAACTCACAGCAAAAGAAATGATCAACAAAATGAAAACCTACAGAATAGGAGAAAATATTTGTAAATCGTATATCTCATAAGGAGTAAATATCCAAAATATATAAATAACTCACAAAACTCAATAGCAAAAACCCAAAAATACAATTGAAAAATGGAGAAAGAATCCAAATAGACATTTTTCCAAAGAAGATATTTATATGGCCAACAGGTACATAAAAAGACGCTCAACATCACTAGTCGTCATGGAAGTGAAATCAAAACCACAATGAGATATCACCTCATGCCTGTTAGAATGGCTGTCATCAAAAAGACAAGAAATAACAAATGCTGGCTAGCATGTGGATAAAAGGGAAACGTTGTGCACTGTCGGTGTGACTGTCACCTGGTACAACCACTATGGAAAACAGTATGGAGTTTCCTCAAAAAATTAAAAATAGAACTACCATGTGACCCAGCCATCCCACTTCTGGGAATATACCTGAAGAAAACAAAAACACTATGTCGAAGAAATATCTGCACCCCCATGTTCATTGCAGCATTATTTACAATAGCCAAGACGTGGAAACTTAAGTGTCCATCGATGGATGAGTGGATAAAGAAGAAATGGTATATGTATATATACAATGGAATATCATTCAGCCATAAAAAAGGAGGAAATTCTGCCATTTGCAACAACGTGGATGGACCTTGAGGGCATTATGCTAATTGAAATAAGTCAGACAGAGAAAGACAAATACTGTATGCTCTCACTTATATGTGGAACTTAAAAAATCAAAACTCACAGCAAAAGAGATGAGATTTGTTGTTACCAGAGGTGGGGAGGTAAGGGAAGGGAGAATTGGCTGAAGGTGGTCGGAAGGTATTATCTTCCAGTTATAAGATAAATAAGTACAAGGTGTGTAATGTACAACATGATGACTATAGTTAACACTGCTGTACGGTATACTTGAAAGTTGTTAGGAAAGTAAATCCTAACAGTTCTCATCCCAAGGAAAAAAATATTTTTCTTTTTCTTTATTTTTGTATCTGTATGAAATAATGGATATTAACTAAACTTACTGTGGTAATCATTTCATGATTTTCAAACCATTATGCTATATACCATAAACATATACAATGCCATATGTCAATTGTATTTCAATAAAACTGGAAAAAGAATACCCCAAAACAAACGAAAACAGTACTTCAAGAAGCTCAATAAGAATAGAAAATTCCAGAGCAATGTTTATAGCTTAGTTAGAAAAGGACACTTGAACCAAAATAAATATTTGTAGAACTTGATTCCTAGCATTGAATTGGCCTGGTAGGAAACCAAGGAAATTATTTGACTCTCGTAATGACACCAGCATTCTTTTTCTTACCCACCTTCCATCTCAGAGTCTAAGAAAGAGGGTCACTGGCTTTCCCAGACTCCTTGCAGCTGACCATGTTCTACGTGTTGAGAAAACAGGAAAACACTTGAGGAGATGTCTCATGCGCCTGGTTATTGCTGCTTCCTGCCCTCGACATTGTACCGTGAGGACGTGCTGTTTGGGGCTGTGGCTGCCACCTTGCCAGCCACAGGAACAGGCCAGAACCTCACAGAGTGGCTGACCCAGTGCTCTAGGTGAATCAGCTCTGGAACCACCTGCATCTAGACTTCTCGTTATGTGTGATAACTAAAGTCTTCTATTATTTCAATAAATTCAGTTCAATGTTAAAAAAAAGATAGACAAAACTCATCTATCGCGATAGAAGTCAAATTTGTGATTAACTTTGGGGA